CTCCGCTGGTCTGCTGCCACTGGTCCACCGGGGTGACCAGTGGTTCGCGCTGCTGTACAACGCGGCCAAGGGCAGCAAGGCTTCTTCTTTGACGGACTTCGGGGGCCACCGTGAGTTCCGGGGCCCCCGCGGCCTGCTGCCCCGCGGGGGGCCCCCCGGGGGGCCCCCCGGGCTTCAAGAAAGCCCCAGCGCATGCAAAGCCAGGGAGTTCTATGAAGAGTCTGGAGAGCTGTGGGGCCTGGGGCGCCTCACCAGCCCCCCACTGCTGCCAGTGCCCACAGACGCAGCAGCAGCAGCAGCAGCAGCGCAGGCGTCCAGAAAAGGTAAAAAGAAGAAACGCAATGACCAGCAGCAGCAGCAGCAGCAGGACTTGGCGTCTGTTATGTCTCGTCTTTCTTTGGGAAATGAAGAAACCCCTTCGAACTGCTCACAAGGCAAAGACCTTCTAGAGCTAGTCCTCGACGAGTGCACAGAAGTAAGCAGCAGCAGCAGCAGCAGCAGCAACAGCAACAGCAGCAGCAGCAGCAGAGGTAGCAGCAGCAATCACAGGTAAGGAGCAGCATCCAGGTTTAGAAGCGCTAGTGCTGCAGCAGCTGCTGCGGGGCGATTGGAGCACCCCAAACCCCAAACCCTAAACCCTAAACCCTAATTTGTGGTTTTGTGCGTTGGGCGTCAGGTGGGTTGCGCGAGCCGAAGCCGGTACTTGTGCCACTTTTGTTTAATTCCCTTTTTGCCTCCTTCTTTGTTTTGCAATTTAAAAGGAGAAGAAGAAAAAGAACTTTTCAGAAACAGAAAGTTCCACCTCCTTGATCTTTCCCCCTTCCAGCTGTACAGACATCCCAACCCAACAGCAGCAGCAGCAGCAGCAGCAGCAGCGGAACCTGCAGCAGCAGCAGCAACAGCAGAACCAGCAGAAGCAGAGCCAGCAGCAGCAGCAGAACCTGCAGCAGCATTAGCAGCAGAACCTGCAGCAGCAGCGGCAGCAGAACCTGCAGCAGCAGCAGCAGAACCAGCAGCAGCAGCAGCAGCAGGCTGCTGTTGGCGGGAGTTTGCGCCTCTGCACATTCGGCTTTGTTCTGCAGACCACTTTTCCATTTTGAAAAAATTGTTTGAAGACAAAAAAGAAAAAAAGGAAATTAAAAGTTTTGTTGAAATCAAAAGTTTTGAAGTTAAAAGTCTTAATGACAAAAAACCAAAACCTGCAGATACACCCAAAGCCGCTATCCGAAACAGGGTTCAATATACGGTGTACAGACACCCCGTCGAATCTGCAGCAGCAGCAGCAGCAGCAGCAGTGCCGCCAGCAGCAGCAGCAGCAGCTGCTGCTGGTGCAGCGGCTGCAGCAGCAGCAGAAGCAGCACGGGGAACAACTGCAGCAGCACCACCGGTAACAGCAGCAGCACCAGCAGCAGCAGCACCTGCAGCAGCAGCAGCACCTGGAGGAGCAGCAGCAGCAGAAGCAAGAGCAGCAGCAGCAAAGCGGTCTCCGCTTCTAGCATCTTTGCTGCCTTCCACTTTTGAAATTTTGGTGGATAAAGATCTTTTGAAGAACTTCCTGAGGAGACACACAGAGGGGCTGCTGCAGCGCTGCGCTGCGCCAAAAAGCAGCAGCAGCAGCAGCAGCGGCAGCAGCAGCAGCAGCAGCAGCGGTGCAAGTGGGGGCCTGGGGGCAGAAAGGAAAGAAAGTTTTAAAGGAGAGAAAATTGCTTTGGAGGCCCTGAGGGCCGACGCGTTGTGGTGCTTTTTAATTTTTAATTTTAATTTAATTTTAATTTAATATTAATTTAATTCAATTTTAATTTTAAAATGATGTTTTAGCGTTTTATTTCAAACAATTCGGCGGCAAAGAGTGCCATTTGCTCTTTGCAAAAATGCTGCATTTAATTGCATGCGTTTATATACAGGCGGGGTTTTTTGGCTGTGCATACACCCGCATGCAACGCATGCATGCATGCATGCATGCATGCATGCGTTGCATGCGGGTGTATGTACAGCCAAGGCCTTCTTCAAATGGGTCTTAATATGTTTAATTAAATCTAATTTTGTCAAATAAATGCAAATGTGGTGTGCTGATGTTTGTTCAATAATGCAATTAATTAAAAGTAAATGCATTTATATATTTTTCTATTTTTTTATTTGCATTTGTGCGACGTGTGTATCCAGTGTATGTACACTGCAGATGAATTCTCACTTTGCTTCCCCTGTGGCTTCTTTAATAATTAGCTTAATTAATTAATTAGTCGGCAAAATTAACTAATTAATTAATTAATTTTTAATAACTAATTAATTATTTATTTATTACTTAATAATTATATTTTACTGTATTTTTCGTTTCTTGGGGTCGCTGCAGGCAGCGCAGCAAACGCATTTTGCTGGTTGGCGACTTTGGATCTAGTTTGAAGGAAAGAGAGAAAGAAAAAGAAATAATTGAATTGAAAAGAAAAGAAAATGAAAAAGAATTTAAGTCGTTTTTGAATGGCGACGCATGCGAGGCTGACGCCGTCAAAGACCGACGTGAGGCGCTGCGGTGTATGTACACCTAAAAGTAGAAAAAAAAGGGATATAAACGAGAATATAAACGTAAATATAAATGAAATTGAAAAAATAAATAGGTAGAAAGGTTCAAATTCTTAAAATGCATTGAAGTTCCTTTTCTTCTTTTTCATTTCTTGACGTGCGCGCGCCAGTTCAGGTGTACGTACACTGCAGAAGCACCGCTGATCTTCTGCTGCTGCCCTTCGAATTTGTTTTGGGGTTTTTTGTTGAATTATTTTATTTGTTCATCATTTATTATTTATTATTACTATTTTTTGTTTTAATTTCTAGTTTTATTGGTTTTATTTCGTTTATTTGTTTTGTTTCTTCCCCAGCAATTGACTTGGTGGTCTTGACTGCCGCCTGCGTCAGCCCCTACGGAATTGTAGTTGAAGAGGGTGAGGACTTCACCGTTTTTTGAACAATTTGAATTTTGAATTATTAAATAAATAAATTAATAAATTAACAAATAAATTAATAAATAAGTAAACAATTAAATAACCAGATAAACAAACAAACAAACAAATAAATGAACAAATAAACAATTAAACAAATGAACAATTAATCAAATAAAAAACAAACGAATAAATTCATGATTTTGCTCTTCTCGTTTTGGTTCATCATCCCAATTGCAGTTGGAAAACAAAATACAACTTTAAATAAATCGTCAATTCAATTTGATTTATTATTTTTGCAATTAAAATCATTTCTCTTTTTTTCTCCTTTTGTAATTTTGTTTTTACATTTCAGCACTTTGCGAAATGGTTTTCGGGTTAAAAACTTCTTATTATAATTTTTAAAATTATCAATACCATTTTCTTGCTTTTTTCGAGCTCTTCTTTCCGTGGCATTACTATTATTTATTTATTTGTTTTGATTAAATTTTATTTTATTTCTATTTCTTTGTTTATTTTCAGATGAAGAGACCGCCGCTGCGCTGCAGCAGCTGATGGAGACTGTTTCCTTGGGTGGGTCTTTTTGAAAATAATTTGAAGTCCAAAAGAACAATTAATTGCCAATTTAGATATTTTTAATTTATTTATTATTTAATTAATTATTTAATTTGTTTGTTTAATTGTTATTTATGATTTATTCAATTATCTGTTTATTGTTAATCAATTTGTTTATTTATTTATTTGAGAAGTAAAAGCGTATCCGTTTGTGGCGATTTTGGATTTAAAAATGAATTTAATTTAAATAAAAAGAAAAACAAATTTAAATGATTTATTATTTTGAGTTTCAAATCAACTTCAAATTGTTTTTATTCAATATTTCTAACATTGAATTTAAATTAAAATTAATTTAAAATGAATTTAAAATTTATTTTAATTCATTTTTTATTTTTAATTCTTTTTTTTATTTGCAGAAACGCCGCCGCCCGTCGCCGTGGTGGCCCACGACCTGCAGGTAACTGCTGAGAGAATAAAATAAATAAATAAAATAAAATAAACAAATAAATAAAAGTAATTAATTAATTATTTTTATTTATAAAAATCTGCGAAAAATTCTATGTTATAAAGACTTTGTTTGCGTAGCGCAGAGCTTTCTGTGGCTTTCGTTTTGATGGGGTTAAAGAATTGAAACTTTTAATTTAATTGTTTTTTGAAAGAAACAATTTAATTAAAAGCAATAAAAGGACTTTTCACTTCTCCGCAGATCATCCACGACCTCAAAGCAGCAGGACCCAAACAGCAGCAGCAGCACCTGCAGCAACTGCAGCAACAGCTGCAGCAGCAGCCGCAGCAACAGCAGCAGCGTGAGAAGCAGCAGCCGCAGCAGCTGCAGCAACAGCTGCAGCGTGAGCAGCAGCAGCAGCAGCCGCAGACAATCGCTGCCGATTTGCTGCAGCAGCTAACTGCGTTGTCGCAGCTGCTGCAGCAAGAGCTAGAGAGCAGCAGCAGCATAGTTGCTGCTGCAGCAAGTTACCCAAGTGCTCAGCTGCAGCTGATCTGCACTCCAACCAAAACTTTGATTTGCGAATTAATCAACAAATAAACAAGCAAATCTAAATAAACACAAATGAATAAATCATAAATTATAAATAAACAAACAAATAATAATAAATACAGGTCCTTTGGTTGGGCACTCCCCTCAAATTCAGGGTTTAGGGTTTAGGGTTTAGGGTTTAGAGGTCCGGCGGACGCGAAGAAGACTCTAAAAAACTCAAAGTTGAAATTCGAACTTTTCTGCGGCTGCGGAAAACAGAAAGAAAACAAAAGCAGCAAACGCATGCAGCCCCAAAGCCTGAACCCCAAACCCTAAACCCTAAACCCTAGCGGCGCCATTTTGGGGTTTTTTCGAGTGGTTTAAATGCAACTGCAGCAAACTTGCAAGGGGAAAAAACAGAAATAGAATTAAAAGACTTAAAAAGGATTAAAAAAGAATTAAAGAGAATTAAAAGGAATTAAAAATAAATTAAAAAAGATTTTCTTTTCCATTTCTCCCACGCCCACCTTCCCCCTGGAGAAGTCAACTCGATGCTCTGCGGCGAATCCGGTGGGGCTGCATGCGTGCATGCAAAAATAAAATTAAAAATTAAATTAATTAAATTAAATTGATTAAATTAATTGAATTAAATTAATTAAATTAAATTAATTGAATTAATTTGAATTAAATCAATTCAATTGAATTAAATAAAAAGAAGTGAAAAGGAAATCTTAAAAATAAACAAAATGAAGAAATGAAACGGTAAATGATAATAAAGAATAAATAAAAAATAAAAGAATTAATAATTAAGAATAAACAAAGGAATAAATAAAAAATAAAAGAAAATAAAAGAACAAATAATAAATAAAAGAATAATGAATAAATGATTACTAAAAGAAGAAAAAGCAAATAAATGAATAAAAGAATAAACGGTAAATAAAGAAGAAATAAATAAAGAAGAAGGAACAAAATGAAAATGTTAAAAAACAAATTAAAATTAAAAATGGCAAAAAATGCAAAATAAAAAAAGAATTTATTTGCTTCCAAATCCTCACCTGCTGCGCCTGGCAGCGTTGCTGCTGCTGCTGCTGCTGGCTCTGCTGCAGGCTGCCCATTATTCTCAGCAGCAGCAGCAGCGGCAGCAGCAGCAGCAGCAGCAGCAGC